GCTCCGACGCCCGCCCGACCGGCCCACATAAAAAGCGCCCATCCATTCGGGCAGCGGGCCTCGGGCTCGAAGTGCGACTCGAGCCCGAGTCCCGGCGGCCGGCCGTCACGGCCGGAAGGGTCGGGCCGAAGTCCGGTGAATCGGCTCAGTCAATCGCAGGTGCATCGGGGCGAGGCCGGCGATGTGTTGTTGCACCACGAGTCCGTTTCAGGCTCGGCCGAGAGGCCGGTCTGTTTCACCTGCAAAGCGACCATTCGTGGGCCCTATTTGACCGCTTTGAATCACTATTTCTGCCCAGACCACTTCACATGTGGCCACTGCAAGAAGCGACTGACACAATCCGCCTTCGTCAAGCAGAAGGGCGAGTTCTTCTGTGAAGCCGATTTCACAGCCTACCTGGCGCCGAGGTGTGCAAAGTGCGCCCAACCTGTGGTGGGCACGGTGGTCACAGCGTTGGAGCGCCAGTGGCACAGTGGCTGTTTCGTCTGTCTTCACTGTCAGAAGCCGATCAACGACTCGACTTTTCGCGTCGCCGATGACGACGGTCAGGTGTACTGTGAAGAGGACTGGCAGCAGCTGTTCCAGGTCAAGTGTGGCAAGTGTGACAAGCCGATCGAGGAGATTGACCGCTTCCTCGAGGCTTTCGGCAAGCGCTTCCACGCCGTCTGCTTCACTTGCGCCGCCTGCATGTGCCCCCTCGAAGGGAAGCCGTTCCATGCGAGGGACGGAAAGGCCTTCTGTCGGGCGCATGCTCATGCGGTTGCCGTCTTTGGCTGACCTCTTCGTACCGGTTCTCCACTTGCCCAGTCACCACGACAGACTCAAAGGTTGCACCATCCCAACAACAGATCCACCCTCGTGCCCCGTAGAGCGAGGAGGGCGTCTGTTCATGTCATGCATCAACCCTCGGAGACGGACATATAAGCTCCCTGTTAGCCTTAATTGCACGCAATCAACTTACGTTCTTTCCATTTTCCACCCGCCGAAAGAGGAGATTCCGGAATAACATAAAATGCCACGATTTCACCCCTCGCCCCAATGCACGTTAAAGCCCAGCCCAGCTCTCTCAATACAACCATTTTACCCACTGCCAACCCCTGCGGTAAGCACACAATCGACATGGGCATAGAAGTCAACAGGAAGATACTCCGATCGCCCTGCCGAATGTCGTCCCTGGATGCGTATTTGCACCAGCATCACTTTTATTCTATATCCTTTGCACCTTCACCTCTACAACTAGATCCATCTCCTCCTACTCGATAAGCCACAATCTGCGAAACAGTTGCACCCTTCGCCTTCTTTCAGAGCCCTCAATCTTTGCCCAGAAAGTATATTAGCTCTCATCCCAAGAAGCCTGTGTATACTCATAGAAATAAACTATTTATTTTCCTATAAACCAT